TTATCAGCCCCTCTCTCTCTTTCTCACTTTTGCAATACAGCCACGTCCGATTAATTTAGCACTAGCTAATACAATATGCTTTGTTGAGGCACACAATTAATCCAATTTTATCGCAACATGAAACCGAACAAGATTGTTATTTATCGTTTGGTTTTATCAGTGCCTCGAATATTTCAAGTTTTCCTCTGTCGACAGCATTTAGGAATAATACATAGTATAAAGAATAGTGGGAGTAGTAAAGAAAATTTTTAATAAATTTTGACTCCTAGAAAAATTTTTAATAAATTTGCGATTTGTTGAAATTTCTGTGATTACATGTTATTTTACTCGAACCCACTTCGCGTATCATAAAAGTCAAAATCGCTGGGGAAGTGAAATTAATTACATATTATTGGAATAGATAGAAATATAGTCATTAATTGGGCGGACGAAGGAGAGAAAGAAAAGGAAAAAGAGAGAGAGAGAGAGAAAGAGAGAGAGAGAGAGAAGGAGAGAAAAGAGAAAAACGGAGAGAGAGAGAGAATTTGTCTAAAAATAAGCGGAATATATTATATTGTTTAAGATTAACGCAAGCGGTCCGACATCTTTCTCGTACGCGTTAACGTCAAACCTCGTGACATTATCCTTGTACGCTCTCAATCTCTCGCAAAATTTCATATTCCTGTCGCGACTGACGTTATCCGGAGGAGACTCCAATGGTATTGCGATTTATAGTGATTGTCGGATCACGTTAGCGGAATTAAGTTGTCTTTTCAACAGGGTTTAAAAGAGGAAAAGACAGATGCGCGCGCGCGACCTTCTCTCTGCCATTTTTTACGCTTTTTGTGAGAAACATATTATCTATCTATTTTTAAGAAAAAAGAATCTGAAAATTAATTATATGGTTTTTATTGTACTGTAATTTTTATATTTTTGATACTTTTCAAAATTCGCGATGTGATTTCGGAAAGTTTAGGGTTTTCCCATTTATCTTTACGCGCACAGCCGCGTCGCAGCAAAGTAATAACTTAAGCCGTAAAATTTTCTTTTCTGATTCTCCCCAGAGAAACCCGTGGCTCTTCACAATCCTGGGAACAAAATCAATCGGAACAATGGAACACGGAGGATGAACCGATGGAACAGTAACAGGGATCGACAATCGTCCTATTTTCGCAGCGGCTTCAGATTTCTGTGCTGCGCCGCGAGTACGAATTACGTTTAATGTATAAGCCATTTCTATCTCATTAAAAGGTATATTTTCGATTACGCAAATAATTAATACGCACCAATATTTTCGCCGCAATTCCGATTTACTAAAATAAATTTAATAGAAATTAATGGCTTTCAGCTCTCGTAAACAGTTCGAGGGTTACGAAGGAAAATTCTATTTAAGAAATATACCGAAATTTAGTGCAGATAGAATTTAAAGTTGTTTTTCTCACGTTTTAATATCACGTTAATATCTTTATTTATCGTAACTTTTCAACTGACTTTTCATTAATGTTTCATTAATGTATCTGATAAAATACACTTTAAACTTGGAAAATAGCGGGTACCAAACGTTGCAACGATAACGTCGGGAAACACATCGCGAGGCCTAATCGAGGCCTAAACCTGTCCTACTCGCGAGAGTTATTCTTGGAACACAAATCTTTAACATATAGTTGGTGACAATCAAAGTAGCTCGAAACTGATACCGAAACTTGTTAAGAAATCGCGCCGCACGATGGATACGAGTAACAGACAATGGGCACGGGTGAAAAAAAAAAGGAATTTCAGCACTTTTTACACTTCTCAGCAAGAATTCTAGTGGCACTCGATATACTCCTTCCATTTTTTCGGACGCCCTTCTTTTATTCTCTCCTAAGAATTTGCTGGCCCATTAAATTTTCAAGTGGTGGACAAAAGGACTGGCGCGAAGCCCTTTGCACAAGTTCGCTAGAATCGTTTCTCTAATCTTATCACGATTGCTCCGATATTAATAACTCGAATCTATCTCCCAAAATCATATTTCTTGAAAGAATTAGCGTGTTAATTCTCTTGCTTTATTATATTTAAGATTTTATGTATTAATTTCAAATTTAATTGAACATTTCAATGAAACATTGTTTGCATAATCAAAACTAGTTTGTAATCAAATTTGGATCTTGAAAAATACTACGAAACCTAGACAATTCATCGTAACGTTGAATTATGTCGTCGGAGCGACGCGTCTATGTCAAAGCAAATAGATGCACATTGTGGAGCAATTATAATCCTAGCGTATTTACAAGTGAGTGGACCAACCTCGATCTATTTATAATGCGCGATGGGCAAGCGCGCGCACGCATTGTAGTTATAGTATGCGCGTTTCGCGTCGCGTATATATAGAGATTATCTACTATAAAGCAATACACACATATACACACCAGAGTTACATAGAAACGTATATGCAGAGATGTGCATGTGTTATAAACGAATAGACCTCTAGTCGCATACATCTCTTGCACATAAATTATGCAACCAGAAATGCTATTGTGTTGTTATATCGTGACTTTAACCCTAAACAGTATCAACAGTATCTTACAAAAATAACGGAGTATGTAAGAGATTTTACGAAACTGTAATTGTCAATTTTTATTTTAAATGCGCTTGTCTTTGATATATTTTCATTTATTTTTTTCAATAAATATAAATATGATATCCTAATGCAAAAAGCCTATAAAAGATATTTTTGTATGTTCCCAAACAAAATGCTGCTGTTTCGAGTTAAGAACGATAAAGTGTGACCAACTCAATAGGCATCCATGAAGAAAAAAAGATAAGATCAATACTTTGAAAGCATTGTAACGTGTGTGACACACACAACCGTAATAATATGCAACATAAATGATACGAGACGTTTTGTTGCCTTTTCTCTCTCGTTGAATATTTTTGCATATTTTTAAAAAACAATACAATCGCACACTTGATTTCTTTCTATATTAATTATTAAGCTCACAAAGAATGATGTGTGATATTTTGAGCGTTTCGCAGTTATTCAATTGAGTTCTTACATATATGAATTAAGATTAAGATTAAAGATATACTTGTACAACAAAGCGACTATTTTATAAAATATGAACATTGCATACGCAGTTTTCGTCATGAAATATGCACAGATTATTGTATTTTACTCTTTTTTTGTTTAAAGTTATACAAAATTAAAAATATGCTAAGTGTCATTAACGTTTTACATTTCTGGTTTCAAAATTTGTTGTTTCGAAATTAACTTTGAATTTTTTAAACAATTCTTAACAAAAGACTTTAGACTGCTTTAGTTTTAGGTCAACAATCATTATATGCAAATATTCAAATACAATAAGTGTGATCTGAAAATGCTTGACCAGAATTGTAAGGCTTTAATGATGCTTATACGGTTTACATATCAATTACGATCGGGTGAGTCGGTCGAATCGTTATTTAATAAAAAATTTTAAAAAACCATTAATCTTAGAATAACTGTAACTGTTGTACCAAAAAACCGATCGTATGAATACTAAGTCGAAAACACTAGTGCAAATCATAAACTACTTGTCGATGTGTCGTCGCATAGAATAATAATCAATTCGAATCTTACCTCTTCGAAAAACAACTATTGTCCAAAACTTTGGCAAAATGTACTCTCGTGGAGAATCGTTGTTTCTCGGAATTAGCGTGATTCGATTATTTCTGCGTTCCTCTAGTCCAACGACATATAAAATGGGGACCGAATTACTTGAATATTTCACTTGTCGAATTTCTGTCGAGGGAACACTAATAACAAAAGAAAAAAAAACTATTAGCGCTAATATATCATATTTTTAGATAGTAGAAAGAAATGTGAACGTTAGAAATCAATTTAAACTGATAAAATGACGCAAGTGGCGAAATCAAATCGATAAGATATAATATATAATTATTGACGAAATAAACATGAATCGTTCCGAATGAACTGATTATTATGCATATTGCAACCATCTACTTTTTAATCCTTGATAAAGATAAGAAATTTCGAAATGCAGAATAAAAAACTTATTTAAGTTTATCACTTTTTCACTGTTCGTCTTTCTTCTTTTTTACTTTTTCGTTTTATTAGCACTTGCGAAAAAACACGTTTAACAATTTTTGCGTTGGTAACGTAAAAATACATCTATACATCTATAGACAGTATAGATGATAGATGCGACGCGAAATACATATGTTAAAATAAAGAAAAACTAAAAATTTGTATGTCTTAATTTTGCAAGATTAAAAAAATACACAACAAATATGGCAAATACATAAATATTTAAACAACTAGACTAACGACATCTCATTTATGTTAAGTTATGTTAAGTAAACTAGAATCCGTTATTTTTTTAATTTAGCCGTGCTAACGTGACCTTAATCTGTATACATAATTTGTCATTTTTAAAAATAATAATAAAATTATCTCACAAATATTTAAATGCGTACTAAAGATGGTTTTATAATTTTTGCGCATTCTTGAATTCATGAAAAAAATGTTAAAACTTTTTGTGAATATTTACATTGGTCGCATTCAGCAAAAATCAATTAATTTCATATTATACTGGAACGCTCACTCAAATGGAACAGGCCCGAATATTAGGGACAAAAAATAAATATTAATCTGTCTTTTTCTAATGTTGTACTATTCAAGCTAAAACATCAAATTATTGGAATTGTGTTTATAAACCTTTTTAAATTTTTTCAAAATTATTGTTAATATAATTTACTGTAAAGAAATCAAACATTAAAAGGCTCATTTTTGATAATATCTAAATTGTAGAGAACTTATACAAGAAGATTGAATAAAGCTTTGTAATAGTAAAGACCAATGTTTGCAGTCAAAATATAGTATAGACAAATGTGAGCCAGCCAATTATAGTTCCAAACCAAGCACCATTATAGTTTGTGGCTGTGTTTACATTTTTTGACGGAAAATTTGAATTAGTGCATACAAAATTACAAGAAATGTATAATAATAGTAAAAATAGCTATAAATTATTTTAACTTATAATGAGATAGCGATCTCAATTACTTGGGACGGAACCCGTGCAATCTGTGGGTTTTTAAATTAGAGAAAGTTAATGTATTATTTTAAAAATTGTTTAATATTTATTTCATAATAAAACTAAAGTCTATAATTCCTGGGACTATATTTAAAATATTTTTAAAAAATTTTTTCAAGATTCCCAGGGAGAAACACAAGATCGAATATACGTCTATTAGATGTCGGAGCCATCTAGTCTAAAATAATGTCTAGAAATATCTAAATTAGATGCCATGTAATTTTGTGTCATTTATTTCCTTATACAAAATTAAACTTAATATTTACACAATAGCGATGTATTGTTATCAAACTACTAGTTTAGATTACAAATTATCTTTCGGCATCTAATAGATGTCTAATAGACTTCTAACAATAAGTAAATATATTAATGCAATATAGCCTCATCAGGATAAAAACACAAAAATTTTGTGGTTAAAAAAATAATCTCATAAAATGTATTTTCTAATATTAATATTTACTTTGTATTTGCGCGAATTAATTTCTGTCTGTCATGATTTTGGAGATTATAAAATTAATAATGATGTCTACATATATGGTCGATAGCTATACCTGCAAAAAGAAAGAGATAGCATTATGTCTGTCCTCTTTTACCCGAGGCTGTCAGCAGCATATACAATTAAATAACCCCCTCTGTCCTGGTCAACTTTTATCTAAACCATTTTTTTGTAGATACCGTAATTTGGAAGATATTCGAATCCATAGATTAAAATGACTCACCCTGTATAATTATAATCGATTATAAATTGTTCTTTAATATTATATTATATTAATATTATATATATATATAATATTTTTACGGTAAAAAATTGTTTTAGTAATTTTGATTTTTGCGGGTGCTATATTGACCAATCAATATCGATCATTTATATGATTGGTTACGTTGCCTTTCATACCGCTC